CGAGTAATTTATTTAAAGAAACCGCGCGCAAAAGATGGCGTATCGGAATCATCGTCGAAACATATTTCTTTCTCGCCAAAGATTAGTGTGTTTACAGGTTACGGGATCAAGGATAAGTAGGATATAGCTCGCAGACTCGCTAAAGCTGCCGATTTACCCGGGGGCGTGCGAAATTAGGGCGTTGTCTTTGCAAATGTTCGTTCCCTGTGCAAAGCGACGTCGCGAAACAGAAAAAAAGAGTGTGTGGGCAAGTGACGCGTGCGTGTCCTATCCTGTCCTGTCTTGTCCTATCTTGTCCTATCCTGTTCTGTTCTGTCCTGTCCTGTCTGCTGTTGCGTGTCGTCATCTACTTTCGTATGTGTGTGCGTGCCCGTATATGCAGCAGTGCGTGTACGGTACATGGTTTAATCGATCTCGCGTTCTAGCAACGTAATTATATGAAAATGAAACGGCTCCGCCGCTAGAATGACACGCACGCGAAAAAAAGGTACGTTTTCATCCCGACGAACGGTTCATCGCAGATTTGAATTCCGTGGCTGCGTAAAAATGGCGCGATCGACCGTCCATCATTAACACTAGAACTACCGAACATTTAAACCGTCTTTTTAACCCTTTCCACTCGAGAGGTGACTCTCACTCGTCATTCGATTTCATACAGCAAAACTATAAAGTTTGATGTTTAATATTATACCACGTATAATGCATCAATTCGAGAAATATTCTGATTTAAGTAAGTGATTTCTCCTCGAGTTAATTTCACAAAATATCGTCTTTATCTCATCGTCAAATGTTAAAATATTCCTAGCGAAAAGCTGCCGAGTGCGAAGGGTTAAAATGTCTTTATAAAAGCCAAAAATGTGAATTTATTAATATTTCAATCGGCTTATATTTCAGTTTAAGCATTACTTAATCAGCTTCTTCAGTCATTTTTCAAAGAGGCACTCGTACCTTTTCAGTAATCGCAAAGGAGAAGATCAAGGAATGGGACATTCTGACCCATCTGGTAGTTCCAGTGTCCACGGACACCGAAATGTCCAGATTCGAACCTGCCGACTCGTCCGGTTACAATAACTCGCCCACAATTTACCGCGAGTCGCGTGTTTCGATTCGAAATTCGCGACTCGTTACCCGTAGGCGTCAAGAGACGTCGTTAAGATCCATTTAACAGTTTCGACGTAGATTGAAATTGAATCGGAAACTCGCGGAGTTGATCGTAGACTAGGCTTGCGGTTGGCGCTGGAGTGGGGGGTTGCATCGAATTAGGAACTTGGCCGGTTTATTACTAACGAAGGGCAATATCGAATCAGAAAGTTCCTTGATTACCGCTGACGTAAACCGCGGCTCCTCCCACGTAACATTTTCCATGGAAAAATCTCGGCGGTGGTGCGATCGCCGTTTACCCCGCCGCGTAGAAGGCATTTCTGAAAGCGGTCGCATCGTTTGATCCGTTCGTCGCGCGTTTCCGCTGGGGACCCTGAATCCGTTGTTCGGTCTGAAAAAGAAACGTCTGCCCGTGCGAATTGCGCGGCCGTTGCATCCTGGTTCGCATGGTTCGCATCGTTCGCATCGTTCGCGCGTCACGGCGACCCGTTTCACGGTCTCCTTGTGTTCGCGCGCGGCCCTCCGCGACGCTGCATCTCCGTCGCGACGCGTTCGCTAGGCTGGCCACGTGTGCGACGACCCGGACACGTGTTCCATCGAATCGTTCTTTCAGCGAGCTCCGGATCCTCTTCGTCGTGATCGTTTTCCCCGGTTCCCTCGAAACGCGAGCTCTCCCGCGCGGCCCTGGAGATTATTTCCTGGTATTTGTATCTGACGAAAACGCGTCGACGCGTGGTCGATCTCCCGGGCCTCCGTCGATCGACGAATCCGATTGTGATTTATTAATTTCCATCTGAGGCGGCGTTTAATAGACTAATCGCGTTAAGCGGACGCCCGTCGACGCTGGGAGAGCCGGCGATTTCGCGGAGCGCGTTAATCGCTTGTCCGTCTCCGGAAAGCGTTCGAAAATTCCGAGGAAAGCTGGATCAAGCCTCGTAAATCCGAAACCCTCCAAGCACCCGACCGGTCGTTGAGCCGAACGAACAAATTTCTCCGAGCTTTCCGCGGATCGGTTTCACGCTGCGATCCGCGGTATTGTCTTTGCACGATTATTACAAAGAGGACAGAAGCTTCCTCGAGGAATCGCTAAAGAAACTGATTTCCCGATAGGCGTACTAAAATCGTAATCGAAATCTCAATAGCTGCTCTCTTGGAGGTACTGCAGAAATATTGGAAGAAGTCAATTTGCCCGTTTGGTGGTTCTACCGTTAACACTGCCATGAAAAGCGCTTCATGCGTCGCTTATTCTTCCGTCGCAAAGTTAACACGTTTGCGGACAGTAAAAGTTTTAATGGACTGTAAAAGTAGAAAAAATGCAAATGCAGTTCTTCGAGAGTTAAAATGCGTGACAATTTCAAAAAATTATGGCTATGTAAAATTAAATGCGTAATAATGTGGCTTATAAATTTAAATGTTATAGCTTCCAAGTCATCATAATAAAGATGAATGTTATAGCATTCACGCCCGCGAACGTGTTAAAAAGTAAAAGTAATTAATTATTTACGTCCCAATTCTAATCGTACCCAATTCTAAACATCAGTTGTCTAACAAATTATAACTATTCCCAATTAATTTGGAAACTCCGGCCATCGGTAACCACTGTGGCGGTCAACGTGTTAAAGAATCCTCCATTCGATCGCTACAAAAACCCGAAAGCAGCCGCTGAAACATCGGGTCACGTTCAGTTTCCGCGACGACGGGAAGCGTCGGTCGTCGAGAGTTCACTGAACAGTGAAAAACATCGAAAAACACGGGTCCGTGATCGCGGCGGTGCAGTCGCGAATCGTGAACTCCGGCACGACAGGTTTCTCTTGGAAAACGAGCACCGGAAACGCCGTGTTTCTCCAGCTTTTTCCACGGGAAGTTTAATGTTTCCCGGTCTGGTTTCTGGTCCGCGTTGTCGCTCGGCTCGACCGTCGTTTCTGCAACGGGCAGAAGCGCGAGGAGAGAAGTATTTTTCCGCGTTCGTTCAACGGGGACTTCGTCGACTTTTGAATCGGACGAGATTCTTTCCCCCGAGCGAGTCGAGGTCTCTGTTCATTGTGAATGGCGAGAGCCGCGGGACCCTTATTTTTCGGATCGCGATCCAGGTCAGCCGCGCGAGAAGCGTCGCGAAACGAACGGAACGAGCGAAACAACCGATGGGGCTCGTGATAAACCTGAAAATCTGGGACGGGAGCATACGTCGTGGCCAAGATCGCGGGGTTTGGTTATGTAATTTCGCGTGCAACGTACGCTAGAGAATACGATTCGGGGAAGCCCGTCTATTTATCCGTCTCGCTTCCCCGAATTCCGAGGAAACGCTACCGTCCGTTGCACAGGGGAAAATCCTTGAAAGGAATGCGGGTTTAATCGGTCAGCTTTCATCTCTTCTCGTCGCAATTTCCGCACTATTTTCGCTATTACGCTGATATTACCGATAGAAACTGTAATATAAAGGAACCCAGCGAGAAATCCTTGTTAGGAACTCCCCCGAAAGAAGGCGACGCAGGGTAGCGCGAATGTCGAGTGCCACGGTGTCAGCCCCGGGGCGAGAACGAGCACCCAGCAGCCGACACCCTTCGAACGCCGAGGGTCGGCATCCACTTTCGAATCACGCTGAATCGTACGGGCTCGAAAATCAGTCGAGTCTGCCTCGCAGCTGTGCGCGCGGTGCCGAAAACTCCGTGGATCCACCCTCGACGCGTATCGGGTTTCTCGA